GACTTGTTAAAGATGTAACGGAGTCGATCAAGATGCCTGAAGCCATATCCGGGTTACTTCTTAGGCAACTCAGGACCAAATACATTTGGTACATCAATGTTGGCGATGATTTCCGGCGAACGAGGAGCCAAGAACCCCACCGGGTAGCTAACTTTAGATAATTGTAGTGTAAAATTTGCCGGCGTGAAGTTTTATCTCATGTTGTGCCAATACAGTTTTCTTGGAGATGGTCAAAGCCAAATAATACATGGCAATCCATTGGTAACCAATGAGCAACATAAAAGTCGACTGTCGTAGTTTTGAATAGAGTAGATTTGCCATTGCCTGATTGGACATGTAATAAAAGAGTTGAAAGTACTTGTTGTGAAAGGGACTCATTCCCCGTCCCTCCAAAGCCTTCTACATATATCGGCGAAACATTCAGAATAGGATAGTTAAGTGCTAAAGCAAAGGTACGACTAATCATGGCCGGGCAGGAACCTGTGTCCACATACATTGTCAATAGGTTCATCCTCACAATATGCTTTAATAACAGGTCCCGTCCACTCCTCGGATCATATTTGTCGTGGTACATCAACTCCTAGTATAGGCGTGTGTGTTGCGATAGTAGCTGCCGCTACAACCATTTTCAACGACGGGCACTTATTAGAATAGTGTTTAGGTTGTTGGCAAGTATGGCAAACCGGGCATGGTTTGTCCCGATGGCGCAGTTTACATTTGGGACATGTGGGTACATCCTGGCTAGATGGACGAGTACTCTGGGGTTGACGAGTGTCATTAGACTACTGTCGACGGGCGTGTCCGTACCGATTGTTGTCACGCTCTTGATAGCGACTATCCTGTGAACGCTCCCTACGGTACCTGCCACTCGAACGACCATAATCATCTGAATTACGGCTACGATACCGGCCATACGATCGGCCACGATCATGGTCTTGGTCACGCGAATGACTGTGGTCACGGAACGAACCAAAGGAGCCTCTACTGTGAGGAGACAGGCTACGTGTATTCCGTTGCCGGCTCCCTCGTTTATCCGATGGCTGATCATGTGCCATGGCAGACACAAGCTTCCCAACATCAACTGCCAATTTCATCGGAGCGTAGTCATCCAATGTTTGGAGCAGTGATTCCTTCTGAAGGCCCGAATAACCTGTCGAAATAAATGGTCGCAACGCAAGACGTAGCTCCTCTAACCCGCCAAACGGTTTGACCACATCCTTGTTGAGAGTCTACAGGTCTCAGGCCAGATTTTACAGCAAGAAACCATCTTTGATTTATGGAAGTCATCAGAATTAGCTCACTCCCGAGAGCTAATCAAGTTGCTCAAATTACTCTCAAGAGTTGAGTTATTACTTGACCGACCGAGAGCAGATTTAGTTTCTCAATCGATTCCCGAGAGTGGATTAAGCCTGTCAACCGCAACATATTAATAATAGCTGCGGTTCTATGTGAGTCACAACCTATGCGGAAAGGCATCGTGTGATTAGCGTGAGATTTAGTTGCAGAAAAGTTGAAATAGAAAAGCATCGAAGTGATAAAGTGTTCCGCATAAGGTTTCTCATACTGACCATATGAGTTTTTACCCTGGCCAGCCCAAGCGGCTAAACACTAGCACAAACACCTTAGGTATAAAACCAAAGGTGAGGTCAGAAATAAATATATACATTTGCACTTTATTTAAAGTCTACTACATTGTACTCTAACACTTGTTCCACACATGATCGCAACGCAAGACGTAGCTCCTCTAACCCGCCAAACAGTTTGGCCACATCCTTGCCGGTGCGTAAGGCCTGGTGAAAGAACATACCCTGCTTGTCTGCTTCGCGCGCAATATCTGCGCAGATATATTGCCAAGGCTAGAGCTAGTTTCTGTTGAGGTCGCTAACCGCTGGCGGCCCATATGCTGACCAATAGTCGGCAGAAGTTGGCCTTGTATGTTATTCAGTAGAACAACAGGGTACCAACATTGGCGATCATGGAGGTAAATATACTTATGTTCCATTCCAAGCTTAGGGCGCCAAAGCCCTGTTGTAGCGGAATATACGAAGTCATCATCATATCGGCATATAGACCTATCAACATAGATGTCATCGCGTTGACCCCTGAGCCGCCACCCTAAACCCGGAAGATTGATAAAGGGTCCACCCAACGGTACCGTAAGCGGTACTATATATATTGCTGTTATCCACTGGTCAATCTTATTGAGGTCTGGGTATGAATCATTCACTCCGGGGGCCGCTTCATCACGAGAACGGTGTTGACAACAATCTATCTCATACTCATGCCGAAAAGTCTCCACCTGTTGCCTGGTAGCCGAAGCATTTGGTTTAAACGTAGAGCTCATGAAAGTAGGTGCACTAGGCGGTGGTCCCAATGGTCGAGTGACATTCATCGAACGCGAAGGATGGATATAAATGCCATGCATGTCAGTTCGTGCCCGCTTAGCCCTGGTGACAATGTCTCGATCAACCGGAGAGCGGTCGTCTACCACGAAATGCTTAGGGACAGCTAGTGCCGACGACCGGTGATCAGACGGTTAACCCAACGGTGACAACAAACTCATTCTGAACGATTCCTGCACGCTATTGCCTTCCGCCGCAGACACCAACATCTCTTTCCCCGTGTCATGCATGTCAGTTCGTGCCCACTTAGCCCTGGTCGCAATGTCTCG